GCGGTAGTGAATAAGGCGCTGCTCGTCAATGATCCTGGCAGTGCAGTCGCGACGTTTTAGGTACATGTAATAGTTTGTTCCGCTCCGCACAAACAGTAATACTGTAGTTTGTTCCACTCCGCACAAACAGTTCCTCGATTGTGCCCTGTGCTGGCTAACTATCCCAGCCAACACCGCATCTATTTTGTAGCCTTGCGCAGTAATAGCTGCCTGACCAGGATCATGTGATCGAGAACCAAAGAGACGCAAGCCACTATAACCTCCAACAGGTGTACGATACCGTACCTGGTACTGGTACCACACCGGTACCGGTACGACTGCCTGGTGCGTACGTGAAAGTATGGGCGGAACACCGAAACTGCACGATTGATTCATGTCATCACATCTCTGCTGTCTAAAACGATACCTTCGTACGTACAAGATCCAAGCCTTTGAGGCTCGCAACCATGTGGCGATGGCGGAGACTTTGTCGAGAACATGAGGATATTTATTTGGAACTGCTCTTCAGTACTGGAGTCTTCTGCCAGTTGTCGCTGTGTCGACCAATGCATTAGCTCTTTGGACTCCATCATCAAGAACGTTCAAGAAGAAATCCATCCAACCAAAAGTCAATATTTGGGATCCACACGAATATCCATGGACAAACAGACCAAGAGGCAAGATACCATGCGATGTACTGCTGTCGCTCTCCGGTGGAAGTAGTGTCCACCTTGGAGAACCAAGGCAAACGAAAGTTTTGGGGCGAGCTCTGCTGGTGATGGTCGCCTTTCTCTATGGGACCCTGAACGCCTCTTTGAGGCGTGTCTACACACTGACCAATCCACCCTCGGCCCCTGCTCTTAGTGCTGCCCGTGGTTGGTTGGCAGCGCTGTGTTTTGTTCATTTGCCCTTTCAACGACGGCGGAAAGGAAGAACTGTGAGGGAGAAGTCAACAGGGCCATCAGACTTGGCACCACCAAAGCCAACGCCTCGACTCCTGTGGCTGACGGCGCTAGATTTGGCAATTTGGAATGTCATGGCTCAGGGACTGATCAATGTTGGTCTTCTATTCTGCTCCTCTGCAAGGGCCAGTTTTCTGGTCCAATCCAGCGTCATTTTCACTCCCTTCTTGTCCTTGGCGGCAGGTCACATTGTGCCACGAGCACTATGGCTGGGGGTTGGTCTTGCCTTTGCGGGGCTGACCATTGTATCTGGCGGCGAAATTGCTTCCGCAACTGATACCAGTACATTATTGAATCCTTCCAACTTTTCTATTCGCCCTGGCGATGCGATAGTCTTGGCAGGAGCTCTCAGCTGGTCGATGTATTTGCTGCGGCTGTCACGAGCTTCGTCACCCGAACGGAACAAACATGGGATCGAATTCCCGGCTCTTTCACTGCAAGCTATCAAGACCCTATTGGTGGCCGTCATGTACACGTGCTGGTGGGTTGCAAAGACATGCTTCAATCCACCATCGCCTCATGACACAGCAACAATGCTCTGGTGGAACAGCGGTTTGGCTTGGTTTTGGCTGGCTATCAGTGCCATTGGGCCAGGGGCCGTAGCGGACGTGCTTCAGCAGAGGGGACAAAAACATGTTTCGGCTGCCGAAGCCAATATCATTCTGAGTTCAGAGCCGATTTTCACCGCCATTTGCGGCTTTGTGCTGTTGGGAGAGACGGTGGCAAGGCGCGAAATGGTTGGTGGGGCCGTGATCGTTGTAGCTGCATTACTCTCTTCCCTGTATGCTTGATTGAGGGAATCACATACCGGTACCGGTAATATAGCCAGCTAGGATTAGACACGTAGATGGGCAAATCTTACCATCACCAAAACAATGTTGCTGCTCTTCCGCCCAGACCTGAACATGATCCTTGTGAACCCATCTCGTACGGTAGGAACTGGACCCCCCCTCCGGAGCTTCCCGCTCATTCATGACGGGCTACGAGACCGTTCGATGGATTACCAGCCCCCCGCCACTTGTGGCGCCACGGCCACATTCCCATTGCAGGACGTCGGGACAGCCCAAGACCAAAAGGCAAAAGGTGGCCGTTTCTTGCGTCCAAGCCGAATGATAATCCGAACGGATGGAATAAAGCTACGAGGATTGCGTTGATGCTGCATACTAGTATTATAGGACGGGTAAATAAGTACCGACTGAAAGCCGACCCACCAAGATTCCATGCTTCTTTCCGTTTCAATGCGTATATATTTCTGTCGAGTGTTCAATAATTGTATCTTCTGATCCATGGAGAGATAGTAGTTCAAATACTTCTTTTCGTCTCTTGGATCAGTAGAGTTGAGCAACTTTTGGCGTGACGCGCCAATGCAACTACCCAATCGGAACCAAGCAGTTACCAAGCCTCTGCAGCCTTGGTTTCTTCTTTCGTGCTGTCAAAGACGGCTGCGGCGTGAGGATCACAGGTGAAGAATGGCAGCACTCCAATCATGTCTGCGACCTTGGGAGTGACACAGAGGCCGTAGACTGGTTCAGCGCACCAGACGCACTGTCCATCAAAGGAACTGCGACACTCCTCTCCCCCAGAAGCGGCTTGAAGGCAATCGTAGATGGAAGGGGCATCTTTCTCATCTTTTCCTCGACGCAAAAGAGGCGACGCCGTGCAGCTTTCCCGAGCTCCAAGAATCACCAGGACGCAAATCACAGTCAGACATTCCAGGCGCAACATGACGATGATGATGATGATGGTCTTTTCACAGATGTATCGTATCTTGTCAAAACAGAATAGAAACACAGACTTTCTAACACGTAAATGAGAGAAGAGAGGGTGCAGGGAAAGAGAGGGAGAGCTAGCTGCCACAGAACAAACATCAGGTTCGAAAGAAGAAGATTCGTTGACAGTCACGAGCGTGAATGTTGCAAGATTAAAGCATTCCCGTGAATGCGTGTTTCAATCCTCACCGCGCAAATAATCAGGCAGCCCGAAACCTGCCGCCATGGCAACCACCATTTTCTCCGGCACCTCCTTCCGCTCGTCCTCTAGCTAGAGACGACAGCACCACTCTTTTCTTCTATCAGAAGATACAACAGAAACATGGTACGTTCCAAGAGACATAAGGTGGCTTGGATTATCGGAGAGTTCCTGTGGCCTTTGGGGTTGGGTTGTTTTCGTTTTCGTTTTTCACTCTGGAATTTCGTCTCATTTTCTCCTTCTCACGATGATTGCCTCTGTAGAGACCTTATCTATTGCAAGGACACGAACGTCCGATCACGGTGGTTCAGTTCAATTATGACGGCGATTTGTTGTTCACTGCCTCCAAGGATTTGGTGCCCTCCATGTGGCGTTCGGAAGATGGCCAACGAATCGGTACCTTTAATGGCCACAAGGGAGCCATTTGGGATTTGGACTGCAATCGATTCTCGACTCGTTTGTTGACTGCCAGTGCGGATGCTACCTGCAAACTATGGGTGTTAGAAACGGGAGAGTGCTTGCATACCTTTGTCCACAGGGGTCCTGTCCGAGGCGTTTCCTGGGCGGATGGTGCCAAAATGTTTGCCACCATTTCCGATCCCTTTGTAGAACACAATGCCAAAATCATGATCTTTGATTGTCCTGAAGATGGAAACTACAGTGAGGCTCCTCGGCTAGAAATTGATATTCCCAAGGTGGGCAACAAGCGTGTCAACCCTACCAACATCCAGTGGACAGCCTTCAACGAAGCACTCTTGGTCAGCTTTGATAGTGGCGTCATCAAACTCTACGACCCCACCAATGGAGAGTTGATCGATGAAATTGTTGCCCACGAAAAGAAAATCAATCGTCTTCGTTTCAACCGAGACAAGACGCTCTTCATTACCAGTTCCGCGGACTTTACCTCAAGGCTCTATGATGCCGTTGATCTCAAACAACTCAAGGAATACAAGACAGATCGTCCCGTCAATGATGCTGTCATTTCCGAGCACAAAGATCACATCTTGTTGGGAGGAGGACAAGAAGCCATGAGTGTCACAACCACCTCTGGAAAAGTGGGAAAGTTTGAAACAAGATTCTTTCATTTGGTGTACGAAGAAGAGTTTGGCTGTGTCAAGGGCCACTTTGGACCCATCAATGCTTGTAAGTTCGTTCCTCGGATCAGATCATGGCCCTTCAGATGTCATGTGATTGATTGATTTATTATTTATTTATTCACCACTTGTCACATTCTTGTTTCCGCGCACAGTGGATATCAACCCCAATGGACGGAATTATGCCAGCGGTGCAGAGGACGGATACGTACGATTGCACTTTTTCGACAAGAGCTATTTGGATATGAAGGACCCTGTTCCAGAGGCAGACGAAACAGATGGAGAGGAAGAAAAGACGGCTGCTGAATAAGACTCGACTCGTGCATCCACTGCCTTTTCGTGCGGCCTCTACATGCTAAATTAGAACGTCGTGTTTCACAGTTCTGTCAGCGATGTTGCTTTGGTGTGGCGTTTGCTCGCGCTGGCTAGCCAGCGACTCAAGTGATAGTTTTCCATTCATCGTTCATTTAGTTTTTGGTGCCGACAGCAAACCAAAGCAATCCTCTCCTTCCATCAAGCGCCGAGTTGACTAATTCACAGGGTAGGGTGAAGAGGGTAGTGGAACTCTTGAAGGAACTTCCACTGGGGCCTCGGCTGGTTCCAGCCTTTGTCGTCAATTGCTGGCTAGATGTAGAGCTGTCGGGCTCTTAAGCAAGGCCAGCATCATCTCTAGACCAGAGGGCAAACCGAAAGCTGCCTCCATTCCGCCAGACCACCAGTAGACCACCTGATAGAGTCAAACGAATGATTTCAATCTTCGTGTTACCGTCACCCCGGCGCCATTCTCCCTCCTCCTACGTAGTTGGCTACCGGTACCGTAGTCTTGCCAGCTAGAGTATTGCGTTGCATTATTTAAAGTCGCCAAGAAGGAAGTTACAGTACTCTTCTGGCTAGCTAGACACACTCTCTTACACTACATGCAGCAGGCCGGGACGATCACCAAAAGGGCCGAATCCACAATCAGTGCAGATATCATCGAATAACCTCAATGACAAGACTGTTGGATGGCTTGGGCTGTAACATGGAGAATAGGATTCCAAATGAGAGGGGAGTAGCACATGTGGGAGCAATCTGCCCCCTTTCTTCGTGAATGGAACTCATGAGCATCCTGTAGGATGGAAGTAAAGTCCAGAGTGGCTGTACTATGGTTGAACTCCCTTTGAATCCTGGCAAGTGCCTGGTCACTTGGATGGTGCCATGTTCTATTGAGTGGTACACATCCGTAGGACCCAAATGTTGGCACCCTGTCACCCCATTCCCCTCCTCCTGTTTTGGAAGCAAAGTGTTGTGGCATTGTCCTTCTCCAGAGCAAACAGAGTGGATTGCTTCGAAGCTTGTTTTCCCGGAGGACAAGCTCTTGGACATGTTTGTATTGGCGGTAGTGGTACTCTGGTTTCCCCCAATGATGCAAGCCAAAGTTGGAAAGAAAGACATGTGTTTGCTGGAGGGCTGCTTGTAGAATGTCATCCTTAATAAAGTGCGTTGAGTTTGGCTCTTGGATGTTCATCCCTGTTCGGTTGACATCGTCCAACCTATAAGCTTTGATGAGGCGAATGGTTGTGTTAGAGGAAGGCACCACATAGAGCTCTTCATATTGATTCTTTTTGACAATATGTCGGAACGGGATCTGGAGAGCCCTCATTGCCAGTCCCACAGATGCAAACATGGTCTCTGTCATGGAGTCTCCCAAGAACAAGACAGTCTTGCGTTGTGTGGCATTTAGGAATGAGTGAATTGCCTGTGTGGTATCCATCTCAGGACAGAACGTTGACTGAAGATAGTCGGTTCCTCTCTCTGAGCAGCAACGATGTGTATTATAAGGGCTGAGCAGTGGTTGCTTGCATCCCAACTCTTGCTGCTGTTCATCTAGAGCAGCTCCAAGGGATGGATTTTCCACCCACGTTCCTCGAAAGGAAAATGTGTTGCTTTCGTCATCTTTTTCCACCCCACATTGTTGTTTGATTGGCATCAGACTTTCACTTGGAGGACTGGAAGCTGACACTTCTGCTCCCATATCACTACTGGAGTTCATCAAAGTTCCTTGATATTTTTGTCGATACTCGTTGATAACAAAATCACTTTTTGGTTGCGGCAGGCCTTGGAAACGAACCATGAAGAGTACCAGATTCAAAATGCAAACGAATGCCGCACTTTTCAACAGACTTTGGTGGCACCATTTCTTGTTGTTATTAACACTCATACTCGTGTTTCATTGAGCTTGATAAAGCAAAGCAATGGCAGAAAGAGAAAGCACCTGGTATGGAGGTCAACATCGGAAAGCAATGTCGGGCACCTGGCATGAAATTTTGTGAGGGTGGTCACTCCAAAAACTGAGAATCTTATGAGCGGGGTTTTAGTGACTAGACGAATACTCGCAATTGTGAAAAGAATCGAGTGAGAACAAAGCGACCCTTTTATTAAACACCGCTGACGTGGATGAAACCTGGACCGGCTCAACTGACTTGACCCGAAGCTGATCCCCGGGAACTTGCAGCTTTCCACATGCAGGCTTGCTCGTCGGCACGCTCGCGAAGAAGAAAGGAGGGCGTGAGTCGTGCAAATTTGAAATGGGATTGGTTAATCACGAATACAACTTACCATGGAAACGAAATAGCAGAATCCCAGTCACTCGGAGTCGCATGCCTGACTCGATTTGTGACCTTGTCTTGTGAAACAACCGCCTGAGGTTTTCTCCATGAGCGAAGAGAGGATGCAGCCATTGGCTCCTCGGTCCATGAGGGCTCGCCACATGAGCGTGGACCAGGATGTTTGGAAACAGTGTAGACCACAGAACCGGGTGTGCTGGAATGCCCTGGAGACGACCGGTCAGCACAGTAACTGGTCGTTCCTTGCCAATTGCCGCGGAAGGTAGCCCCTCCAAAGATAGGTGGCATGCTACCCTGCGAGCATGGGTGGTGCCTGGTTTCCTGGGGCTGGACCTGTTCAGCACATAAACAGATCGCCCCTTCAAAAATCCGGCTCCGGCTCAGGTTCAGGCCGACGTACAGGCATCTGACTAGAGGACCAGTAGGCCTGTAACTTGGTGTCAATGTCATCACCGTGGCCTTGGCAAAGGCAGATGGTGAGGCAGAACCAGTATCAGGGCTGAACGAGACGGTGTAACCCTGCCGTTTGCCTGTGTTGTTTGACATCATTCGACGGACATCCCCAGGTGTTTGTCATTTGCCTTTGCCTGGGGTGCCGAATGTGATGGGGAAGCCGTATGTTTGCCAACTGAGGTTCGTATCTGCCTGGTTTACATCCAATGATGGTCCTGGTGTGTCCCCGACTGCAAGGTCAGCTTCCTGTGGGGGTCCATTGTGCTGTTGGCAACGTTGGCTTGGCGACCGGCGGGTGCTGGCGGCTGGGATGCCATCAGTACTTTTTGTCTGTGATCATCAAATTGATGCCAATTCTTCTTGCCCGTATTAGAAAGTTGGTCCAATGTTGGTCTGGGAGCCGGACAGAGGGGTCCCTCATGGCCGCAAATGCTTGGAATGAGTGTGGTCATCCGTTAGACTATCCATGCCATCAGGTTGCCCGGCTTCACCCTCAGACTCTTCGATCATATTCATGTTGGCTCTGCGAGTTCTACCAGGGGGTAGAAGCTTGTGGTTGACATCAAACTGTAGCAGCGTTGGTCAGACCTCCTTGTATTTCTCATACGAGTAGGACATGTGGGCACATGTTCTCCTGTTCTCTGGCGCTGATGTCTTGAGACTTGATGTCGATGAACGCCTGCTGTAGGAACAGTTTTGGATACTTCACTGAGTTTATCCTGCGCGTTGGTCTTGGAGTCATTGTACCGTGTGAGAACCTCATCGTAGTGGATGATGAACTCCACTGCAGAACCCTTGGTTGTAGAGTACTTGACCCTGGTGAGCCAGTTGAGGTCTCCACAGACTCCAGTGTACCTTCCACAGAGGTGTGGGCATCCTGGATCAATGCATGTAGATATGAAAGCAGTCACAATCATGAAAATGTTCCTTGACTATCACCTTGCCTTGGTTGTCTTGATGATTTTCTGCAGGACCGCATAGAACCATTCGTTCATCCTACGGAGCTCAAAAGCAGACTCCGGTCCAATGGCACATAATTGGAGTCAAAGAAGCATAGAATCCCTGTGCCCTAGCCGTTGTTAAAACACGCTGTACCATTGGTCGAAGCCTTGTTGGACTTGAGGGTGGGTACGCATTGGCATCTGGTTTACATGGAACAACTTGCGTCTGGGCCGTCTCCTCCTCCACCTCCTCCAGGGCCAAGCTGGAGGGTCACCACCACCACTCGGATCCCAAGGGTCTCCGGGGGTCCTCCTCCTGGGGGACCACCATACCTGCCCTTTCTGCAAAGCCTCTGTGCTGTCATCACCACATGGTACTCCTGAGCCACCAGGGTCTCCAGGATCACCAAATCTGTCTGGAATCCTGCCTTGAGTTACCTTATCCATGGGAGATGTCCCTCTAGATTGAGAAGAGGGATGGTTTGGACTGGGCCTTACAATATCCTGTCTACCTGCTTGGATGGTCCTCCATGGGCCGGTTTGTATCCAGGTGAGTGTAGTGTGGTGGGAGTGAGCCTGTGGTGACTGGTGTATGGGTAGGTGGCTGATCATGGTTGAAGAACTATCCCTACATCAGAGATGATCCACTCTCCTTGGTCAGTGAAGAATAAGCCATCAGGATACCTTCTGTTGACCCAATGTGCAGGGTTGGTTGGCACATTGGCTGGCGGGGAGTTCATCAGCACTCAATGCCCTATCATAGCGAACCCATACCTTCATCATGTCAGGGTTGATGATCCACTCCTGAGTAGTGTGTTTCTGCCTGTGGGCAATGCCTCCGGAAAAATGAGGTCTGGCTGTCTGTAGAACCGGTTGTTGTCTCCATATCTGTGGTACCGTTTAGGGTATTGGAAGATGGTGCACTGCTAACGGTTGAACAGGTTGAGCTGTGCGTGGTTGGATGACACTGGTGGTACAGGGGTGTAAGGCAGGGAGAATGTTGAAGGTAGACTGCTGCCATGTGTTGGTGTTGAAGTAGTCTTTGTAGTCTTATCCTCCTCCTTGAGGGCCCTCAAATGGTCAATGACTTCATCTCCACAAGGTGGGATGGCAACATCTGTATCCACTTGGGGTTGAGGGGATGGACCAAGATGGTCCTCAACATCACTCATAATCCTGAACCAAACCAATGGTTCTGAACTGCCTTGGGACTGTGCTATAGAACCAATGGTCCCTTCCACACTTTGTCTCATGGACAGTAAACCATAGATGGTGATCCAATGAAGAGATGCATTGGAAGGAATAGGCTGATCCCTCCAAAACCCATGAGGCCAAGTTGCTGTTGGTTTGGTCCATCAATGTTGGACCAAGCATGGATGGAGACACTAGCTGGTTGATGTCCTGTTGTTGTTGGTAGCCTGGCCTAAAAGTAGCCTGGCGCTCCTGGTCTCCTCCTTCTTTGTGCAATGCTTCCACCAGTTGTGCAGCTGTTGGCTGATCATGGTGGTATCATGGTTGGCAAGTTTGGAGGATGCAGTAGATTCACTGGGTGATAGGATGGTGGGGGAAAACAGGTAGCGGTGACTGAGGGGGATCCACTGGTACTTAAGGATGATGGTGTGGTTCAGTGCTACCGGTGTTGCCGGTGTGTGGTGTTGGTACCAGTGTGGTAGTTGTTGCCGGCGGTGTTGCACATCCCGTGGTGATGTCTGTTGCTGTTGCTGTTGCTGCAGCTGTTGCTGCAGCTGTTGCTGTTGGCGCTGCTGCTGCTGCTTCTTCCTCCTCTTGCTTTTGCTAGTTCCCATGATGTCTGTTGTTGTGCTGGCTGAGTGTGGTGTAGATGTAGAGGTGCTGCAGTAGTGGCTGGACAAACAAGGTCACGAGAATCCAAAAGGTCTTGGGGTCTTGCGCTTGTTGGTCAATGACCAATTGAGGCTCCTTGATACACTAGTAACCTCGAAAACCTGGTTAATAGTGCGAAAGGTGGTCTCGTGACGCTTCGAGTTAACCAATGATACAGAGCCTTGGATCCACACGGAAGCAACTTCGTGAATCAACACGTATGTATCTTCGAGTTCGGAATCCGAGGAAAATGTGAGGCGACTCGTATCTTAGGCCCGGCGTGCTTTCGGAACAGAGGTCCGGTACCGGTTTGTGAGTACCGTGTGAGTACCGTTCCTTTACCGCAGTACCTTATCGGAAGCACGACTGGAGAAGTCCTCGCTCCGTATCGAAAGTGGACAATGATGATAGGCCGTCTATTCCGCTATGGCCGCTGATTGAAGCCGATTAACAGAAACTGGCTGGTGTATCGTCTCAAGCACCCTTGGTTAGTAGGTGGAACAGCGGATACCTCGCCGAACGGTCCAGTGGTTGCGTCGTAGCTCGTCGCGATTTTCTTGTCGCGATTTTCTTGGTCGCGATCGGCAACTCCTCTTCTTCTGCCTCGATTTCCACACTGTAGCCACTCTTTGTGCCTGCAATCTGCGACATGTTAATCCTATGAGATTCAGTCAGGGTAGATGCACAAGGAGCTGGGGTGGAGAGCTCTGCTTGGAGTCTCACTCCTCTGGCACTGGGAATGTGCCAGCCACAAAGCTGGCTGCCACTGTTTATTCAATCTCCACAGCAATGATTGAACAACTTACTCTTTGCCCTGGCACAATCCACACAGGAAGGCTTCAACTGTGGGGAACTAGTGCTACTGGGCTGTATCTGGTCAACTATCCTTTCATTACTTCTTCTCTTTAAACTATGCTAAAATCAACTGAACATAAAATCCTCGACAGTACTCAGCCATGCAGCTTTGGCTCTCTTGCATCTCATTTGGCTGGTGCTGGCAGCTAACTTTCTATATTGGTCTTGGCTGAAGAATGCATCATCCTTGGGTATATAGATTCCTCACTATTTCTGTATTCCAGATGGTGCACTGCTGACCTACTGTTGGAGTATACAGATGTCACAGCGATTCTTCCACCTGGCTAAACCAGCACAGCTGCTTCGCACCACAATGGGAGTTCACGTGGATTTCCACTCATCGGTGCGATATAACTGTGGGCAAAATGTTTTGCGATTGACGGCAATCCGTACTGATCTGTGTGATGAGGAGGAGCCCGGGACACTGCGTGGTTGTGGACACTTCCGTTTGTAATGTACAAACAAAAAACTGAGCCATAAGACGGATCATTGGGGGCCATTGTCCTGATTTGTGCTCTCCAGAGACATCCTTCGACGCAGCACTTGTACCGCCTCGCTTGTGTTCGAAGCGATTTGTCCGGCTTAGATCCGCCAAGCCAACAAGATCCACCTGATAAAATCAGTTTGTACGGACCAAAAAAGCCAGCGTAGAAACTTTCCATTTGATTGTTCGCTTCCATGAAAGTAGAAAATATTTTGGCCCCAGGATGAGCATAATAAAGAGAGTGTGACACAGCTGGATTGCCAGCAGAGGGCAGAACAGGCCCAAGTGGAAAACGCCCATGCGAATACCTATTGCTTGACGGACCACCAAAAACGGGAACGTATTGTTGGCGACCGTCGTTGTTCATTGGCGAATAACTATCGCTCATGACTATGGCTCATCGTCTGAGGGATTCGGTTGCTGCCAAAGTACTCGTAGTTCGTTTGCATTAGGATTACGCCATTACCCCCGCTACCCCCAAGGCACAAAAACATCATCGACTCCCATTCATTGGAGTATGTTTGTGGCTATCTCCCTCCCCAATGACAAGAACTTTCCGAATTTTCAAAAAGATATCAATCCTTCTAGAACATTCCGTCCTGGGCAAGTCCCCCCCACCAAAACAAGCCCGTTTTGAGCTTGGCCGAACTCTCCATCCAGGCGAACGCAGTGCACTGAAAGAGCGAAAATTTGGCTCCGTTTGAGTCTGAAAGCCATTTAAAACACAGCGCGATGAAGCCAGGCTGCTCTTATCCAACAAAAATCAGCGCGAAGAGACGATTTGAATGCATTTGCGTTCAATTTGTACCAGTGGCAAGCTGTGACCACCCTCATTCCAGAGCGAAATTCGTGTCAATCAAGGAAACCAGTCCAACAACAATGATGATCAATATCAAAATGGTGCGGCCAAGACTACTGGCGGGCAACTACTGGCAGTGAATAGGGACCCATCAAGAGAGAAGCAACAAGATGTTGCAAGTTGGGAGAGGGCATCTTTGCTACATCATGGAGAAAACCTCAGGCGGATTGTTTCACAAGACAAAGGATCACAAATCGA